AACCTCCAAAGACCCCAGGTCCTTCACCAGGTAGCCTGATTGGGACCCCATCAGGACGCCTGGATTCAAGCTAGAGAAATCAACAGAACTAGTGGAGACACTGAGGTCGAGGAGAGGACTGAAAAGTTAACTCTGGCTTGACTTTTTGGTGGTGGCAGGGGAAAGCCCCTCAAAGCCTGTCCGAGCCACCAGTGTGCAGAAGTTGAAGCCGAAGTCCAGGAAGAAATGCAGCTGTGGGGAGCGTAGGTGACTTAACAACCCCAGGGTGGCAGAGGGTGGCTCCAAGGCGGTGAGCACCGGCCTGGCCCAGCCGGAGCCTGGAAGATGCTGAGGCCTGTCTGCCACTAGGTGTCAGCGAGCTCGGGCAGTGAAGAGTGGGTGGTGGGGTGGGTGCCGTCGTGCAAAGGGAGTGGAGCAGGCCTGCGGGCAGGGGATCACTTGCGGCATCCCCCAGCTGGCAGGAAGGGATGATCTTACTGAGCGGGGCTAGAGGGACAAGAGCGCGGGGTAAGGTGGGGGGGGGGTTGCTCTCAGCAGCGCTGGAGCAGTCTGCTGCGGCCCGCGGGGATTAGTTCGCGGCTGCATGCCGCCACACGCGTCGGGCTGGGCTCGGCCGGGTAGAAACAGCGCCCGAGGCGCGCGGGGGAGGCAGGAGGGAGCGCGCAGGGGCGGGACAGCGGCCTGGGGCTGAGCAGGGGGAGACTGATGTGGCCCCTAACTTGGGGTGCCCAAGGGATGCAAGTACGGGTCCTACTGAACGGGGGGGATAAAAAAATTAATTTAATTTAATTTAATTTAATTTTAAAACCCCTGGTTATGTTCTTTCTGCAGTTGGGGCACATTGAAGCCTGAGTCCCGGCAAAAGCTGGAGGCACTAAGGCTATGCCCTTCCTCCTCCACTACCAACTAGAATCTCTCAAACCCTAAAGAGCCAGGACTACCAGGTCCCTTCATTGTCCTGACAAGCAGCTGGGAGAACTTTATCCAGTATGACAAACCCAAGCTGCGATCTTGCCCCAGAGACCTGATTCAAGGCCTCAGCAAGGAGGTCAGTGGGAGTTGAAGCAAGTGACAAAACTACCTGCCACCCACAGCTTAACCATTCTAGGGAGTGTCTAGGTGGGCCTGGGTTAGCCAGAAGTTGGGAATAGAAAACAGGTAATGCTGTGGCCAGGAGGAGCACTGGGGGACCAGGTTGACGAGGCTGCTAGGCTTCCTGGGCAGGGGTCACTGTGCACAAGCAGGCACACACCCAATGCTCTGACTTAGACAGGGTGGGGAGAGGGCAGTGAGAATGACACACAGACTGGCCAAAGTGGACCTGCCACAGCAGACAGAGCTTCAGGCCATTCACCTGGCCAGGCTTCCTTACTTGCCTTGTGTGGCAGGAAGTTCTTCACCCTCACTGGCTCTCCAACCATACTGCAGCTAACTCAGTAAAGGGTAAATCGAGGAAGGTGGTAGGGATGTTTTCTGAGCATGAGGTATGTAACCGAGAGGGTAAAACAACAGTCTAGTGGTCAGGCATGGCGCCTGCCAGCCTCAGTCAGAGATGTGTCTGGCCCATGTTTCTGCCCCCGCTCTGGATACTTTTCTGAGATCAGCAAGCAACATGGCTTGCAGACACAGGGGTCTGAGGAGACGCCACCTTGAGAGCTCATTAGAGAAAGCTAACAGGTTCTGGGGTACAGGTCCTGAGTGGGAAGGACAGGAGTTTGGAATGAGGAGCAGCTACCTCTACTGAAGATGGGACTCTCGTAGGGGACTTTGTTCCGCGTCTCCAGGCTGGAACAGTTCCAGCGCTGGTCCCGGAACTGATGCTGGCACTCATGGATGGCGATCTGGATGCCCTGGATAGCAGAGGCGGCCACGTCAGGGTGACGCACACACACCTCCATCTGCCGCCGGCTCAGGCCGGGCAATGTCAGGCACACTGTGTTGGCGTTCAGCACAGGCTCTGGGGGTAGGCGGAGGCCCAGGATGTCGTTGGGTGCTGACCTGCAGGCATATGGGGTGGGGTGGATAAGCATTTTGTGGGAGACTGTGAGAGCCTGTTTAATAACACACATTCTGTCCCACAGGCCATAATCACTCTACCCCAACTCCTGGCTCTTAAGGTTGGGTCCAGGAATACATGCCTCTCCTCATCCATTCCAACACAATGCACCCAGATGCACACCCACGAAGGTAAATGCATACACTAAGAATTTTAGAAGTTCATCCCCAGGCACAGATGCCTCAAAGGTGCCCTAGGAAACTACCCCAAAGCCATGCTTCAGCAACTGGCATTTCTTCCGACATGCTTCTGCACCCATAATGGTAGAAGCAGAAACCCAGAGCACTAACCACTTATACACTTCATCAGTTACACACACACACACACACACACACACACACACACAAGAGAGAGAGAGAGAGAAAGAGAGAGATTCACACATAAGCTTGTTCTAATGTACATTGACCCATAAGCTCTCATAGTCACACATATATTTATACAAATTGCTGGTTGCCCAACCCAGCTTACTGGAACACACACACACACACACACACACAGTGTCAGTCTCTCACTTGACCCCCACCTGAGCTGGGGAAACCCTCTTCAACCCCTCTTTCCTGCTCCTGTCTGGGGTGATCCGCAAGGTGGAAAAAAGCACTTTGAACTTATTCTTAGAGTGGGGGTGCATTGCCCCCAGGGTGGAAAGAACTCCTAGCTGGCACTTATTCCCAAATACCCACCTCCGGATCTCACTACCTTCACCCACCTGGGCACTGCCCTATCTCCCTGGGCTGCCCATATCTTGTCACCTCTTCCTTGGAGGTAGCTTACTATCTTTGATTGGACACAGCACTTTTCGGTGACCCTGTCTCCCGGCTCACTCTGTGGTCCCTTCCACAGCCAGAGCATTGGGAAAGGCCCCCGGGGGTCCTAGCTCTCCAAGAGGGCGGAGCGTGAGGTGAGGGCTCACCTGGGCACAGCGGCAGCCAGCAGCAGTAGGAAGAACAGGAGCGCCCAGAGCTCAGGCCGCGGCTGGGGCCGGGGTGGGAGCCGCAGCCAGGGGCGAGGGTGGGCGCTGCCCATGGCGCGCGGGCCTTGACAGGCCGGGGAGTGGGGGGCTCACAGCCCGGTGGGACTGGCGAACCAGGGTCGCTGGCGCATGATCAGCAGGGGTGGGGCGGCTGCGACACACAGCTCCTACTCAGGTCACGGCTCCCG